AAGTTTGGTCCAATAGTAGCAAAATATTTGTTGAATTTATTAGCAATGTTTTTATCTCCTGTAACAACCTCATTATTCACAGATATCGCATTGAGAGTCATTGTTTTGGACTTTTTGTTTAATAATTCGTTAATTGTTTTCCAGCTGTCAGCACTATTTTTAGAGTTTACAAATTGGTAACAAGTCAGCCAATCACGTTTGGTGTTCACACTAGCTATATATTTAATCGATTTTAACTGGAAATAAGCCTGCAGTTTCATGAATTAGTGGCTGTTCAACCGTGAAACAAACACGTTTGTTTAATAATTGTTTTGATGTTTTGATAATTTAATCGTTGTTGTGCCGGTTTGGGTAAGTGTAAACATTTGAGTAGTAAAATTCCATGCCGTACTTGCTTTGTGTTGTCGGTTTATTCATATCTGCGAAATTTTTAAATCATTAACTTGATAATTCACTTTAATGCAAGCTGGTATGCATGAAATTGCAGTGATTCCAGTGAATGTTATCGTTATTCATTATAAAGCTAGCGCATCAGTTATGTTTTTATGTTCGTTTATAATGATTAATGGTCTTAATACTTTTTGTGGAGTTTTTATACTTCATCTGTTAAGAAAGGCGAGGGGTTGCTGCATGCATGTATTTTCTAGTTATGTACTGATGGTTCTCCGTGTTTTAAATAAAGTCATGTATGTATCGAATCGATATTCAGTCGTATTTTGACCGATAGACTCACAATTATAGTTGGCCTACTTTACTACCGTCATTGGCTGGGGTTGTATTTTGATACAATATTTAAATAGTGATTTGGTTTTCGCCGGAGTGGCAATAAACAATAGAACCAAGATATAGCCGTTCTCAAAATTAAAATGTTCATAATACATGTCATATTCTTGTTGGTAGAAGTTGGCAACCAAGGTAAATTATAAAACAATTGAATTAATGGTGACCTTGTTTACATGATATGTCTACTGACAGTCTACGATATTAGAAAAGTTATGCGCCTGTGGCGGTTCCGTTCAACTTAGCCTCAGCCTTCTGTATATAGCCTATATAAGCGTAAAACATTTGGACGTATAGAAGAAACAGAATAGCATGTTAAAATCTTTTAACTGTCTTGGTGACCTAATAGCCTTAATTCAACCTGATTCGTTCTTTCGTTGTTGTTGCACCAACAAAAATACATTAATTCATAAAGAGTAAGTCCAGAGTACAACACAACATGAAAAACAGTACAATTCGGTGAAAATTTAGCGAAATTGCCAGAAATATTATTTGCCCATCACGCAACCGCCATTTTGAAACTGAACTATATAGGTCACTGAAGCATACTTGCAAAATCACCCATAATATCCATAAAATACACCGATGTACATGTGAAATGTTCATTTTGTGACATCCTAAAGACAGACAATTAGCATTTTACAGTGCGTCTACAATAAGTGGGGTCACTTAGAGAACACTAACCAATCGCATTGCAGAACAAAAAGAAAAATCTAATCAAACTAAAGCTCGTCCAATCAAAAGAAAGATTCAGGAAGCCATTAACTGCAGTGTTTACTTTTACAAGTCTATTTTTACCGTTTGACATTCGTTTATTTGTTCAAATTGTTTTTGGCCTAATGCTGATTGGCTAATGCGCCGTTTGTTGATTTTTTCAATTTTTGTTCTGCAATGTGATTGGTTAGTGTTCTCTGAGTGGCCCCACTTACTGTAGACGCACTGTAAAGCTCCCTTGGGCTACGCCCGACGGAGCAATAGTAAAGGACGACTACACCGTAGGCTAATTCGCGTGAGAATCTAACCTACGGTGTAGAGAATCTAGCCTGCGGTGTAGACCCCAGCAGAAACACGCGAATAGGCAATGTTTTTATAAGCGACCGACTGTTATATTTAGTTGCAAGCGACGGTAATAATAACATTAACAAGGTCAAGGTGGGTCAAGGTTTCATCGAAAGCGATTGACTGTTATATTTCCTTTACAAATGTATAACTAAATAACGTTATTTCCTTTAGATTTAGCTAAATTGTAACTTTGTAACTTTACTATAATAGATTGAAAATGATTATTATTTATCATTTTGACTTTCGAGTGATTGAAATGAGTTAATTTACACTATATCGAATGTCATGTTGAATGTCACGTTGAATCTTATGCGTACTTCACAATGGTTGCTATTTCGTTGTATTAAATTTCAATAGTATGTATAAATACTATTTATAATTCAAATTTTGTTTGATATTTATATATCATGTTATTTACAAAATGTGCTGTAGTTTTGAAGCTTTGCACACAATATAATCAGTACGAGCACAATGGCTCCGTTTCAGTTTGAGTATATAAAAATCGAGTATTTTGATAGTTTTCACGATATACAAATATAAACGCCTGATAATTGATAAATAATCAGTGCGAGCACAACTGCTCCAAAATCACAACAAATAACAGAATATAATTATCACTTATTTACTGAGACCGAGGGAAACAGTGTGTTTTGTGGACCCGAGACCGTCGATGTTTTCCGAGGCGAAGCCGAGGGAAACATCGACGGTCGAGGGTCCACAAAACACACTGCTTTCCCGAGGTCTCAGTAAATAAGTGTTTTATTATATATCAATAGTCAAAGAAACAACAAATTAAAGAACAAATGAACGTAAATACATGAAATATTTTATTGTTAAAACGTTATATTAAACACTGGCTACACTGCAGTTATAAGAAGCGAAAGTTTTAATTACGTACTAGGCATGTCCAAAGGTCGCATCTTCACGTGATGGCGCACGTGATTTTTTTGTTATTCGCCGGTGGATAACGTATTATCTCCCTCTCGCGCTGTTGCGAGGGAGACAGCCTAATTTCGTCACTCTCACGTGATATGCTCTCAACCAATAAAACACTAGAAAAATGCGACTTTGACTATTGGTATATAATAAATAGTATTTAAAACACGAGAAGGAGTGTTTTATCATATTTAAAACGCGAGGCGCAGCCGAGCGTTTTAGATATGATAAAACGCGAGTTCGAGTGTTTTGAATAGCTTAAATACGACTACAAAAGAATACTAATTAGGATGAACAATTATATAATCATACTAATTAGGATGAACAATTATATAAAGAATACTAATGGAGATGATTTTTATCAGATATAAAGTCACTCCACGTGACATATTATGGCTGACATGATTTGCCACAAGGTTTATGAATTTTTAATGAGTATTTTAAGGTTAAAAGCAGTAAAGCTTTACTTACCTCGATTTATTTTTCTAAGGCGCTCAATTATGTAAATTTTCGGCGAATAATCAATATTTCTTTGCGTTTCCTCGACGAAAACCCGGCATGAAAATGCTCGTTGGAAAAACTCGGTATTTGTCGTATTTTACGAATCTGCCACGTGACTGGTACGCTCACCGCGACCATAGGTATACTAAATAGACCTATGACCGCGACACGAAATTTAGAGCTATATGAAAGTTGCATGCCATATATGGCATGCAACAAAAATAGATACGCAATGCGTACATGTTGCATGCCTTCAAAAACATGAAACCGCATGACTCAGAATACTATACAGAAATCCATCTCCATTGTTTTCAGCGTAAGTGCTATTCGTCATGATTCGTTACTCGGCAAGTACCGTAAACAGAAGTCACCTCCTTGGCACTGAACAAAGACACAGAAGGTCGATTAGAGTAACCGCTGCCACGTCCCAGCCAGTGCGCGCCGAAGAGGCATTCCACCCTGGACGTCTGTCATTTTGAATATTATCAGGGGGGTGAATGCCTCCCAAAAGCGCACCAGGCAGGACCATGGCGTCAACATTTTGATGATGAATTACGGTCACGCCAAAATCATTGGAAAATCATAGGAAAAACCAAGAAATTGGGCTTTTGTATGACCCACCCTGTGCCCTGGTTATGATGCGCTACCGCTTATAACTTTTGGTACAACTGGCCTGAAACTTAAAATATTGATTCAATAAGTTTAATATCAATATATTTATTGAAAAATAGCTATTATGTCAAAATAAGAAAACTTAAGATTCTCACGCGAATAGGCAATGTTTTTATGAGCGACTGTTCATTGTTAGTTGCAAACGACGGTTATATAAACAAGGTCAAGGTTTTATCGAAAGCGATTGACTGTTAGATTTCCTTTTATACTATTTTATAACTAAATAATGTTGTTTCCTACAAATTTAGCTTTATTGTAGCTTTATTATGAAAGTATAAAAAAACATGGAAACGGTGAATTACTATACAGTAGATTGAAAATAATTATTAAACTATGATTGAAATTATCGGCGTAGAATGCTATATTTCGTTGTATTAGATTTCAATAGTATTAATGAGAATTTTGTTTGATATTTTTATAAATATATTTCATGTTATTTAGTATATTTCATGTTATTTAAGTTTTGCACACAATATAATCAGTGTGAGTACAATGACTCCGTTTCAATTCGAGCATATATAAAAAATTGAGTATTTTGATAGCGTAGCTTTCACGATATAAATATTACAGATGATTTCATAAAACTTTTGACGAACGCTTTCCGAAGTTTCTTCGTTATTCCGAAGTTGGTCACGAACTCGCGAACGTCGTGACGTAGTAGCCAATCAAATTGCGAACTTTGAAACGAAATTGCGAACTTCCTGGCGAACTTTGTTGTGAATTTCCGAACTTCGTAGCTGTAAAGTTATAAATATTAGATGAGAAAAAAGATACTTGTAAAATGGATGAATTGTCCACATGGGCAGCCACATTTCAAACTAAATTAGATGCAAAAACGTATGATTTCATTCTTGAAACGCAAAAGGCAAGTCAGTTTACGAGTAGACTTCAGTTGAAATTGCTGACATCTGAACAAGTTGATATGATGTTTACAAAAGAACTTTCCCTTGGAGCAAAAACACTGCTTATGTACCAGCTTGATATGCTTAAAGATGAATCGCCCCTCCCTGTTCGGCAGAAGCGAAAAAGCAATTTGTCACATTGCACAGCCGAAGTCAAAGAAGAAACTCGTCCAACAACACAAGCACGCAGAGTAAGTGAGCACATGCTCTGTATAAATATGATTTATATATGCACTTTCTGAGCGTCGCCCGGCTCGGCTAAATTATATTCACCAGGCTTTATTTCTATCTTTGTGTAATATTATTCCATTAATTATTATTATTATTAATTTTTGTTTGTTCCCATATGGACTTTTCAACACTCAATTACAAAATTATTACAAATATATATATATAATGTAAATTATATGTCTTAAATACTAATATGTTCTATATTTAATTATAATAAAAATGATAGCCCAGTTCTGTATTTAATACAAGGTAAAATTTCCATATACCGTATGCTAGAATATTAAAATATACTATTATGAAACTGTCTTATTAATTAGCCTTTCTCACGATGACGAATATCCGCCATTTTTGGGTGGCATCAAATTTTCATTATGCAATGTAGACAATTAAAACAATGTGAATAGCGATAAACTAACCATTTACAAAGAGCATTTACCATCATTCGTCCAAAACATTATAAAAAGTCGCTGTTATATATGTGGACTTATCGCACAGACTTCAGCTGAAATGCCACCCAAAAATGGCGGCGTGAGAAAGGCTAATTAATTAACTGTTCTTGTAGTTTCTTCTTAAATTTATTAATGTTTGTGATCTGCTTCAGTTCACTGGCCAAATCATTCCATATTTTCACTGCCCTATAATAGAATGTTCTCTGTCCTGAAGAGGTCTTGAAAGATGGTATGTCTAGACTGTCATGATATCGAGTTGGTCTGTTATGAATGTCTGAGCGTTTAACGAACTTATTTGTAAGATAACTCGGTGCCAGATTATTGAAACACTTGTATGCCATTATTGTATCTCTATACAAGAGTAGTAATTCTATGGGAAGCCAGTTGAGTTCTTGTCAACTGGGTGTAATATGATCAAACTTTCTAACTTTTGTAATGATCCTGCATGGCTGCAAAATTTTGAACTGTAATTTTTTGATGTTCTTAGCCGACGTATTTGACCAAATCGTGGAACCGTATGTCAATTTGTTAATCACCAACATCTCGACAATTGATTGCAAAGTTTTTACATCAAAGCTGTCCTTCACTCGGTTTATTTCAATTATTTGCACAATTTTCTTATACATGATGAAGTTAAATTAGAAATGTGCTCATTATATGATAAATTTGAGTCAAATGTAGTTCCCAGATCTTTGGCCGACGTTACAGTTCATAGTCTGTTTCAAGAAATTTAAATATATATTTGCAGGTAAATTCTGTAATATGGGTCTCGAACCGATAAGGAGGAATGTAGTTTTGTTTGGGTTAATCAGCAATTGATGTTCAACACCATTTGGCTACACTGCGAAGATCGTTTTCCAACTTGATAATTGTTTGTTTTATGTCTTTCATACTGAACGTCAGAAAAAGTTTTAAGTCGTCGACGTAGGAGTCGATATTGCTTGACAATGGGATCGCCGGAATGTCATTTGTATAATACAAAACAATAATGGTGATAGATGGTGCCCTGTGGCACGCCATGAGACATGGATCCAATACGTGCATATTGTCTTCTACCTGACAAATAGCTGTTAAACCATTCGACAGCTTGCGAAGAAGCGCCGACACATTTCAATTTATGAAGGAGAATTGGATGGCTTACGCTGTCAAAGGCTTTTGACATGTCTAATAAAACTACTGCTGTTACGTTCTTTTTATCGATTGCTTCCAACATTGTGTCACTTACGAGAATGTTCAGAGTCTCAGTGGAGTGGGCTTTCCTGTTTCCGCTTTGATGAGGTGATAAACGATGGTTGGTTGTTAAATATGAGCTGAACTGATCTAGAGCGACTCTCTCACAAACTTTTGACATTATTTCTAAGAGTGAGATCAATCGGTTATTCGAGGCAACTTCGTTATCACCATCTTTATGTGGTGGTGTTACTTCAGATAATTTCCATTCGTTAGGGAACACGCCTGTCAGCAGGGTTTATAATGTGCGTAAGAGGGCCCAAGATAACTGGCAAACAGTCTCTAATGATACGCATGTTTATCTTGTCTGGGCCTGGTGATTTATTTTTTGGCATTGCCATAATAATACGTTGGACTTTGGTGCAAGTGACGGGCCTGAAATTGAACTGTTGTTCTAATGGATAAGTTATTCATTCATTCAGACTTTATTTCATGAGGGTAAACACTTAACAATAAGTGTGAACTACTGATAAATTCGTGGCCCTCCTTACATAACTACAATTAAGCTAATACAATTATACTAAAACTTATAAAAACTCTAAAACTACTATGTTTACAAATAAAATAACCCACCACCCACCTAAGCAATTTCTAAACGCATGGCGGACTTCTGGTCCGTTAAAATTTTAGTATACAAACTGCGTTTAAACGTAGATATAGATTTATGTTTGCGCAATGTAACATCGAGGGAGTTACTGAATTTAAGAGCGGATTTGAGAGTATGTTGTTATTTTCTTTGACAAGATTTGATGCCATTACAGCAGTATTTCTCCCCACGGATGTAAAGTACTGATTAAACTCTTCTACAAGTATCTTAAGATCTTTAATATATACTTGCTTCTCTTTTTCTTTTATGAACTATCTTCCAGAGAAAGCCTGAGTTGTTTTTATGTGCTTCAACTTCATCAGAACGATTGTTGCTTACTGCTTTCTTAAGCTTGTCCTTTACGTTATTTCGAGATTCTTTGTAGGCTTCCCATCTTTTTTATCTTGTGTTTGCAGGAATCTGCGGTGAAGTGTATCTCTAGATTTCATATGTTCTTTTATTTCACGTGAGATAAATGGGTTTGATCGACTTCTAACTTTGAATGTTTTTACTGGTGCATGTAGATCAAGAGTTGAATGAAGAGTATTTTTTAACGTTTCCAATTGTGTGTTAACGTCTGTATCTGAGAAAACTGACAAAAGAACATCTGATTTAATCGCGATGTCGGAGGAAAAGTGTAAGGGGTCGTAATACTTGTAGCTTCTTGCTGTAATATAATTTGGTGGTATCATTGGGCTTTCACTTTAAGTATGACATATACTGGAAGGTGGTCGCTAATTGCAGAATTTAACACACCACTTTCGAGTACAGATGTTGTGTTCAAACGAGAGTTACTTCGATAAGTGATTGTGTTGTATGAGTAATTCTTGTCGGTTTTTTAATGATTTATTGGAGGTTTAGCTCTGTGGAGACTTCTACGAGTGCTTTTCTGTCCGGTCCATCATGGAGCATGTTGCAGTTAAAATCTCCAAGTACGAAAATCGTTTGATTCATACGGGTAGTTAAGACTTGGATATAATTCGGCTTAAAATGGTCTTCAAAACAGTTTAGAGCACAGTCTGCATGGTGGTCGATATGTTACGCAAATTATAATGGATCTATTCTTTTTACTTTGGATATTTATCCAAAGTTGATGAAAGTTTGATTCTGATATTTGTGATAGTTCCTTCAGGACAGATGCTTTAAGATTTTTCTTAATATAGGCGCATACGCCTCCCCCTCTTTTTTGTAATCGGTCAAGTTTATATATTTTATAGTCTTCAATGGCAATTTCACTATTAGTCACTGTGGAGTTAAGCCATGTTTCGGAAATTGTAAAAATATCAATTTTGTGAAGATTGACCAATTCCTTGACCTCGGTAAGGTGTGCAATATTCCTTAATGAGCGGACATTTAAATGGGCTATTTTAAGCTGAGAGGAGGTTATATTCAAAGGTTTTGTGGTATCAGAATTTGTAGGACTGTAAATGGTTGCTGGAGCCAGCAATGGTATGTTTATGAGGTTCGAATGGGAACAATGGCTGTTAGTGGAGCTCTGTTTTTGTTGCTGTGGGGGCTCTCCTTCGGCGTTATAATTTAGTAAAAGGTCCAGTCTCTCCTCATACAAAACCCCTCTTCGTTGGACATCTTCTCTTAAGGTCGGGGAGGTCCTGTGGGGATTTCCATTTGTGGTGGGGGGTACAGGCCAGGGAAGTCCAAATGGGTGCGGAGTTGGGAAACTTATCGCAGGTCGAGTCTTGTTGAAGCGGGGAGATCTTGTAGGAATCCCCATTAGTGACTGGGGATACGAACCATGGTAATTCGTTTGAGGAGGGAAAGTTGGGAAACTCATTACAGGTGGAAAATTTGGGAAGGGGTAAGGTATTGGATCTCTCCAAAAAGATGGAAAATTATAACGCTGATATAATTGGGCGGGCTGTCGGGGGCCAAACTGATGAGAAAAATCACATTTCGAGCCTTTTAAACAGTGGCCTTTTCTACGCAGAAAAGGACATGGTACTAGATGTTTTGGAGTTGAGGCAACGTTCGTTGAATTTTTTGGCTGTGTGCCTAAATTAGTGTTGATTTGTACAGTTGGAATATAACACGCTTTGGGGTCGGTAGAATTAGTCGCTTTGGTGATTTCAATTGATTCAATGGTATTTGTTTGTAAAGGAATGTCATTCACTTTAGGGTCAGTATTGCTTCAATAATTTCAATTGAATTATGGTTGTTGGATGATTCTTGCATACTGAATTCTTGAAGTGACTCTTGTAAATTACATTTTCTCGTAGCTTTAGACTTATTTCCTCGATTTATTTTAACGTGCTTATCCTCTTGAAAATGAGTAAAGGTCTCAGCGATATGACTAACAGGTTTTGATAATGACTGAATTGCTTCAATAGTAACTTTTTGACCAGATTTAAGACCCTCAATATCATGGCAGATATCTTTACATTTACATAGACAAGATTGCGAAATGCCCGACTCTGTCTGACATCCGAGATAATTATGTTATTAGTTTTACTTACAGCATTTAAATCTTCACAGATTTTAGTGCAGAGGAGCTGTGTGATTTTTCCGGCATCGGTACCCTCTAGATGCAGCAAACTTTTACTCTTTCGCCACGAGATCGAAGTGTAATTTGTCCTGAATACTTTCTTATCGTCGCCCGGTTGCTCCCAAATTCCAGTTAACTTTAAGTCTTCGCTGAATAATTTCTTTAATGCCTCATACTCTCCTGTCCAAGCAAAACATATGTGGTACGGCGAAGGCATAACTCACGTTGAACTAGATTAACTAAAGTTTGTCTTTCCAAAATTCGGAGAGCAAAAATTACACGTCTGCGAGCAGAAGTTATAGCTTTTTCTCTAATATTTGATACTATAGAATGTTTTTCCCGCTTTGCAAGAACAAGAAAATAAAATTAAAGAGCAGATGGAACGACAAAAACAAGAACGTAGAGAAATTGAAATGAGCATCGAGTCTGTGACAATTCAAGTTCAAGAGCTTCCGCCTATAGGAAATGGTAGAGTAATCTGTAGTTATTGTCACCACAGAGGCCATCGAAATCAAGGTTCAAATCCATGCAAGTTACAGAAATGCATTGAATATACTTTTTGTGGAATCAAGGATAAGCATCCCGAGTACTTCAACAAACTAATTTCATTAAAACAAGATCTCAGGAAGAAGAACAAAGACATCGAAGAACTTGAAAACCAACTTAAAAGCATGGTAGAATTTTCCTCAAATAACGAATATCATTTCTTTAAAAACATGACCCCTCGTATGTACGCAGTTGATTCTACTTATAAAACAAACAAGCCTAAACTCATGCGGGATTTGCGTCTACTTCGTCAATTTCTTGACGGGACTATTCCTCAAGTGACTGCTAACGACCCTGAACAGTTGCGAATTTTGATCAAGAAATGTAAATATAATATTCAGCAACTTCCAAACGCTCCGAATTTGTTCGATAAAACACAGCAGGGGATATAATTGACTCACCCATTAAATCAGATGTCAATTTGATAATTAAACAAGAAACTGTACTAGGGACAAAACCCAAACTCATGTCTGCGCCAATGGAAGTACAGGACTCGTCATCATCAAGCGATAGCGATGATCACCGCCGTGGTCGTAAAAAACGCAAACGAAAGCATAAAAAGAGAAGAAAGGATCGTCATAGACATAGGAATGTTCGTGTGGACGATGAACATCAAACGGGTGTGCCTTACCTTCACAATAGTAACCTAAACCAAATTCCCTATTACGTTGGACCAACACAAAGTTTTGTTCCACATGTGAACTTGGGACATGCTAGTCAACCTAGTCCTATGCCTACTTATCCGAATTTTTCGGAAGTTGGTCTTCCAAGTCACCCACGTTCATATAATTATTTTCCGTGTCAGCCTCCAAACCTGGGGTTCACTAATATACAAATGCATGGTGTAGATAATTCTACATGTGAAAGTAATACAATTAACGAAGGAACTAATCGAATGCAAGTGCAAGATGAAGATCGAATTTGGAGTAATTTTGATACCTTGGTAAAAACAGCAGCAACTCAGTTACAGGAAAATGATAAAGTGAAAGATGTGTGAGCAAGCAAACAGATGTTTTTTGGTGACACTATGTATAACTATTATGTTTATAATGGCTTACTGTGTTCTCATGTTTCGATATTTCGCTCTTGTTTTACTTCGAGGTGTTAAAGTAATTACAAGAGCATTCAAAATTCCTCTACTGTTTAGAATGTAGACAATGAATTGTTCTATTGGATAAAGTTGCTAAATATATACTAAATTTCGTACAATTTTATATAGCTGATGCATAACGAACTGTAATGTCGAGTTAATTGTACAAATTGTACCGCAGTATAGAACTGTCTTTTACCATTGGGCGTTGTTTTGACATTTTACAGTAGTTGTATTTGTAAAATTACATGTAATTTTTGTTATTTCATTTTAATTAAAATCACATGTTACATGTAAACAGGTGTTAGAGCAGATTGGCAAATTTAAGTGGCATATAATATGCGATTGTAGAGTCAAACATACATGTAAGATGTATGTTTGACTCTAAATTATTTTATTCGATTGTTGACCAATTTGTACAGAAGAAATGCGTTAGTAACATTAATCGATCTCCGTGGGTTGATAGAGAAATTGTTTTGTTGCTGAAGAAAAAGAACACCCTGAGGCGTAAGGCTAAATCTCGTGATACTGTTTATTTGTGGGCTAAATTTCGTCGTTTACGGGCAGAGATTAAGAAGCTTATTAAGCACAAGAAAAAAGCGTACATTAGTAATCTTGGTCAGGACTTGAAATCTAATCCTAAACGTTTTTGGTCCTATTATAAGGCTTTAAATAAGACAAACAGAATTCCTAATACTATATCGTATGGAAATATAACTGCTACTGATTCTATTTCTAAGGCCAACATATTTAATACCTTTTTTCATTCTACTTTTAATGCCTGTGATAATAGTATTTATATCACCGTTTCACACCCGTTGAACGACAGCATGAGTGTACCTTGTCTTTCCAATATAACGCTAGATAGTGAAGATGTTCTTAAGGCGCTTCACTCTTTAGATATCCACAAAGCTAGCTGTGGGATTCCTTCTAAGCTTTTAAAGGAATGTAGTAATGCCATTGCCACTCCACTTACCAGATTATTTAATGAATCTCTTAGCACTGGTGAATTTCCATCTCAGTGGAAAGATGCAAATTTAGTACCTATTCATAAAACTGGCAGAAAGTCTCAAGCAACTAATTACAGGGGTATTTCTTTGTTGGAGCAGTTGTCCAAAATTTTCGAGAAAGGTGTTTATAATGTAGTTTTTGAGTTCTTTTCAAACAAAATAACTTCACAACATGGTTTCTATCCTAGACGTTCTTGTGCTACGCAGCTTACGCAGGTTGTTCATTTACTTGCTCAATCTATGGATAATAAACAACAAGTTGATCTAGTGTATCTTGATTTTGCAAAGGCTTTCGATCGTGTGCCTCATTCTAAATTAATTTGTAAGCTCCATCTCTTGGGTATCCGCGATCCTTTGCTCTCTTGGTTTCGCTCCTATCTTTATAAGAGACGGCATCGTGTTGTAATTGATGGATTTGCTTCTGAATGGCTTCCGGTAACATCTGGTGTACCTCAAGGTTCGGTCCTTGGACCGCTCCTGTTTTTGTTGTATATCAACGACATGCCGGAAGTTATATCTCAAGGATCCTATTTACCCTTATTTGCTGATGACTCGAAATGCTTTCGAGTTATCTTCAATGCCAGCGATCAGGATAGATTACAGGAGGATCTTAATGCTCTGTATGATTGGTCAATTAAGTGGGGCATGGAGTTTAATGTTGAAAAATGTAAGGTGTTGAGGGTTGTTAGAACACGTACAATATATGATAGGCAGTATGCTTTAGGCTCCTCGCATTTGTCGGTTGTTCAAAGCGAAAAAGATTTAGGTGTGTGGATTTCTGATACTTTGAATTGGAATATTCACACAGATAATATAGTTGCTAAAGCCCAGAAAATGTTAGGTCTATTATATCGAACCTTAAAGGATATTGATGATAACAGTGTGAAGTGTCTGCTTTATTTTACTTGGGTGAGGCCAACTCTTGAATATGCTAGCCCAGTATGGTCTCCTTATAAGAAACGGAATATTAATAAAATTGAAAAGGTGCAACGTAGAGCATCTCGTCTGATCCTAGGTCATGAAGTTGATTATAAATCTAGACTAGAAAAACTTCATCTTCTACCTTTGTATATGCGTAGAGAAATCACAGATCTTGTTTTTCTCTTTAAAATTATACATGAGTTAGTTGATATGCCAGGAGGTTTCCTTTCTTGGAAAAATATGGGTCGCTCTTTGCGCAACAGTGACGACATGACACTTACAGTGCCTTTTGCACGCACAGATGTTTTTAAGCACTCATATTTCGTTCGTGTTACACGCTTATGGAACTTACTTCCTTACACATTGCGTTCTATTCAGCATGTCGTACTTTAAGAAACAACTTACTCTATATTATTTTAAACTTTTCCCTTCTGCTTTCAATCCTTAATCAGATATTCAGAAATTTAGAAAATGTATAAAAAAAATATATATAATTCAGACTTTTAATTTAGAATTTGTAAAATTATATAATTTAGGAATTATTTGTATTATGTGTCCTGTGATGTTAGTTTAATGTTCTGTTTGTAATTGGGAAACCATTCTTGAGGGAATCTTGAATTCTGTTTATGGTATGCCCTAATACATCTAATTTGATATTTGTAAATATATGGAATTATATGTATTGAATTTTAATAAATACAAATACAAAAAAATCAACAGACGCATGGCTAAAAGCAGGACTTACCCGACAAGGTAAAACGGTGGAGCACTTAGTTTCGAACAAGCGACCGACAGACAAGGTAAGAGATGCTTTATTAAAATTCACGAACGCGTTTGAGAACTTAGTATTGAAACATGAAGCCTTTACCAGCTTAATAACAGACGACAGAGAGTTTGAGAAGGAAGTATTATCTGAAAGTAGACGTAGGGGCAAAGAATTATATCGAAAGCGTAGTTAAACCAGCGAAAGATTTAAGCAATAATGTGCTACAATCTTCAGGAATGATTGGAATGTCAGGAATGCAGAGCGAAGAAAGCGCGTTAGAGTTGACAACAAGCCAAAATACTGCAAGTGTAGACAATTCCGAGCAAAGTGTGAATGATGAAAGCAGCAATATTGTTAACAATATGTCAAGCACTGCTCCTAGTCAAGAAAATGTACCTGTAGAAAACCAAGTTAATCATAATGTAGCCCCCGATCAAAGCCCAGTTAATACGCAAATAGGAACTACCATCAATGCGAGCTCATGCGGGTTTCAAATGGAAAAGCCAAAACTTTCTGTTTGCAGGAGACGTGCGAGAGTATGCAATTTTTAAAGCTGACTTTAAACACGAGATTGAGTCGCGATATAGCAAGCGAGACTTGATAACTTTGTTACGCACTTGTCTAAAGGATAAACCGCTTGACCTCATTAACGGGATTGGATCAGACTATGATGCAGCATGGGAGTACTTAGACTCTATATACGGTGATGTACGATATGTATCTGATACGATCACTCAGGACATTGTACAACTTAAAGCCTTGCAAGACGGAGACGATTGCACGTTTCTGCGATCTCGTGCACCTTGTTAATCGCTGCTATAACACTTTGAAAGAAGTTGGCATTCCAAGTGACATGAACAACAGTCACATGTTGTCCATTATCGAAAAGAGAATGTGTGCAAGCGACAGAAAGGTTTGGTCCACAGATCTGGAAAGAGAAAAGCAACCAGCAACGCTCTATCGTCTAATGAGTTGGATGTCCGTGGAGATGAAATCTCGTATGAGAGCAATAGCTCCAGTACGAAGCGGTACAACAAATTGTCGCCATGTGAATATAGTTGGTGGCAGAGTTGACGATGAGAGAAAAGATTGGCACAAGTGTTGGTTCTGTTCTAATTCTTCCCACTGGCCAGACCAATGCCAGAAGCTCGCAGCCATGAATTATGATGAACGAGTGAAAGCAGCCAAAGCCAACCATGTCTGCTTCAGCTGCTTGAAGAAAGCTGGAAGAGAGCACAACCAAGCAAATTGTAAATGAAGAAGGCAATGCACAATATTGGAGAATGGAACCCAATGTACTGCATTCCACCACCTACTGCTACATAAGAACAATAATGTGAACACGTTGGTGTTGCATCATTGTCAAATAATCATGAATCAATGCTTCCAGTCATTACTGCAAATATCTTTGGTCCTGAAAATATTCAAAAACGTGGCAATGTGCTTTTTGACTCTGGAGCACAAATCAACCTTATCCGCCAAGAAACCGCAGACTGCCTTGGTCTTAAAGGAAAGGACATTTCCGTTACCATCACAAAAGTCGGGGGAGAAGAAGAGGAAATGAGAACGAAGGTGTACAGAGTCCCTGTCAGCACAATAGACAACTCGAGAAAACATTCCATCAAAGCGATAGGAATCCCATGCATAAGTGACGAAATTGCAAGCATCAATACTACTGATATTACGAAACATCTTGGACTTGTCAATGAAAAGATCAGATGTCGAAAAGGACCAGTTGATCTCTTGATCGGAATTGATTATGCACACCTGCACACTGGAGAAATGAAGCAAGCCGACCATGTCGTAGCCAGGAAATCGCCCCTCGGAAGGGTACTGTTTGGTTCCAAACCAGGATGCACTACTTCTGAAACAACACGACTTCTCCATCTGAGTAATAAAACGTCAGTAGACCTTGCTGAATTCTGGACAACTGAGTGTATGGGCGTGGAAGTGAAACCGTTATCTGTGAAGCTGACAAGCTGAGTCAAGTCGAAAGGGAAGAGAAAATAATGATTGAAAAGGCAGCCTGCTATCATGAGTGACAAAATGGAACCCAATTTGTTGGAACCAAACGTGAACTACGAGAGATGATTGCCAGTTGGGACAAGAAGCAACTTCAAGAATTTTGTGCAGAAAAAGGTATGGAATGGAAGTTTATCTCCCCAAAGGCCCCACACCAAAACAGATGCGCTGAAGATATGGTGAAGACCTGCGAAAGAGCCTTAAAGAAAGTGGTTGGAGATCAAACATTGATGCCATTCGAACTGTACATGTATTTGCTAGAGTCCGCAAACTTAGTTAATCAACGACCCATTGGTAGAGCGCCCAACGACCCTGACGATGGATCATATCTCTGTCCGAATGACGTTGCTTGGTCGAGTGGCGTCTGATGTGCTGCAAGGTCCGTTCAAGCCAACCAGGAATCCACGTGATCGAGTCGAGTTTGTCCAAAAATTGGTTGATTCATTTTGTAAACGATGGACTCGGGATGTGTTTCCGACACTAGTCATTTGAAAGAAATGGCAGATGAAAAGACGAAACCTTCAAGTAGGCGACATACGTAGAAGAGAATGCTGTACGAGGAAAATGGACGCTGGGTAGAGTTATCGAAGTTTATCGGATAGGATAAGAAATGTGAAATTGAAAACGTCTGTCGGAGAGTACACCAGACCGATAACGAAGATTGCTGTAGTATATCCGGTGGAAGAATATGATGAAGAAGAATAAGGACTATATCCTTTTTGGGCGAGGAGGATGTTTCGATAAACGAGTACTGATAGTACGATTAAACACTGTTCTGTTAACATTTCTATATAGACTAAACATTAATAATAGTCAGCTAATAAAGGATTGAGAAATACTTTGATAGACATTTAGAAATACGATACTAGGCAGGCCGCATGTCAAAATAGCACAGTAATAACCAGATGAATGCATGAAACAGAAAAACTGAAATAGTGCCGAGATCTGTAATTTATACTGACCTGAAAAATGATTGCTAACCTGTAGTTTGAACGTTTATACAGAGATTATGCTAACCTGGATATGTAAAATGGTGTAAAGTACTGGATATTGCCACAGAAGTAAGTAATATTATCATGTAAATATCAATTGTCATCATATGCACGTTTATAGGTATGTTAAATATTAGTCTTTTACATAGTTTAATTTCATTTTAGATCATAATTATTGCATGTTAAATATTAGTCTTTTACATAGTTTAATTTCATTTTAGATCATAATCAGTGCATGTTAAATATTAGTAGTACGATTGTAAATTAGTAGTAAAGTACGATTGTTTCAATTGATGAAAAATCAAAACTAAGAGAGCAATTACACCAACGCAAGTTTATTGGTATTCAGCAAAATCCAACTTAAATTTTGATGTATGCCTTGCACATTTCGATGCCATATTGACAAAGATACATGCATATAAATAGGTGTAAACATTTTTGGAACTGACGAAATTAGCTAAAAATGGCTTATTAAATATTAATACATACAACATGCAATAACTTGTGTTGAGACACATTATACTTTATTGTCCATACGTTCGCGCTTGTTGTTAAAAACAATCGTCTATATTTATTAGTAAATGCATGTCCTCCAACACGAATGCAACGTATTGCCCGTGAAATCATACAATCGAAAGAATTTTGGATCATTTGCTGTTTCAAGTTGTGGCATGCTGTAACAGTCGCTTCACGAACCTCTCTCAAATTGTGAATGGTACATAGACTTGTCCCAATCAATTGGAGCTACTCTCTCATGTCGAGATTTCTTTGAACAAAGTTTTGACCCAGAACAACTGCATCTCGTCACACCAACCCACTAATTGAAACAATAATCGCAAGAAAATGGTAAAGGTGTTGTTCAATTGGTTTTAATAGGGCCTTTTCAGCTAATTCTCGGCGGTTCCAAAAATGTTTGTTTAAGTTTAAACACAGTTATCTCAGTCATTATTGCATGAAAAGGTAGAAGACATATATCAAAATTTAAGTTAAACATCGTGGAATATACGGTGACTTATTTGAGTGTAATAGCTCTTTTACTTTTTAAGTAATAGTAAATCAAACAGTCGTACTTTTTTTTGCCCCACCCGGTAGTTTAATTTCATTTTAGATCGAATTGTTTTCTTTGTTATTTCAAATATTAATACGATATCCAGTCGACCTGTTTGATTTATCGACTTTGCGAAACAATTGGCATGAATTCCAGCGTAGTACCAGAGACAGCCAAGCTAACTATAAAGTATTGGCTTGTGTCCCAGGAAATTTGGGCCCCCCCAAACTTTGGCCTCCCCGGGCCAAATTTCCCAGGAAATTTGCCCCCCCTGGGGGCCATATTTCCTAGGAAATATGCCCCCCCCCTCGAAAATTTGGCCCCCTCGAAAACATAGTTTACTTTATTGCTATAAGCTCAGAAATCGCAAAGCTTCTTCCAAAACCAAGATCCGATCAAGTGTTTGTCAGTATTTATAGTTGGTTTGCATAATTTATTTGTGTCGAAATTCTTCATTGCGGCCAAGAACTAAAAGTTTGAAGGAAAGCGTAATAATAATGTGCTAGTGCAGTCATGCCAGACACATCACACATGTGACATGGGTATCTGTTGAGGACAATGTTAAAGCATATTGGCTCAGCTTTAAACTAAGGACACGAAACGATTTTTAGATATAGGAATTTCGATCTATAAAATTCAGTCACATATAGTATAAAATTAGTCAAAATAACAACTGTACTTACTCTTTAGCAAACGATGACATCATGCATCATGTAAACATAATTTCTAACACCTTTCTTGATACGAAAGCTAGGAATATAAATTATATATACTGTAAAATAATGTCAAATTTCATTATCAGTTGTGACTATATCTATAAAAACTGTTAATAGATAATCATACCAGCAAACAATATATACAAATAAGCATCATTTCAAACACCTTTCGTATACGATTCTACGAAAGCTAGCGATATAAATGAGTATAGTCTGAAATATAAATGACAAGCTTTACTCTCTTAGTTCATTATCAACTACACCTATGCTATAAAAACTGTTAATTGAGAATAATACGTACAAGGACCAAGGTGATATATATGCAGCTATGTGGCTCACCTAACGGGCTAATTCATTAAAACAAATGTCCTTCGTTATAGATACACTATAATGCATTTTAGGTCATGAGAAAAAGTCATGACACTGACACAGACTATACCGTAGGTAGCAACTTAATGCTGTTCCCAGATGTTATGTATATCTCATTCAAATGTCAATCTGCATGCATAGCCATAGCGTCAACTTCTTCCGAATCTTCCCCGTCAGCCTCTTCTCCATACACAGCTTCTACGTTGTGGTATATATCTTTGTTAAAATTTGACAGCATTTCGTCAGATGGCTTAAAAGTCGCACACGATTCAGCCACATTCTTTACGCCATCTTGGACAAAAAGCAGTGAAGCAACGCCCTCCGTCGAGAACCTATTTCGTTGGTGGTTTTGATCAAGTTAACCTGGGAAAAGGCACGTTCACAATCCG